GGAGCGAGGGCCGTAGTGCGCAACAGGCGGGAAGCTACTCACCAAGATGTACCGGCAAGTTTTCGTAACAATTTTATTCTCGTATTGATCTTCTGCAGTGCCTTTTCCAGATGTGGCTTAAATGACAGGGTTCGATCAAGAGTGACGCCCAGATATGTTGGCGTCGTTTCTTGCTTCAGGTGTTGAACTCAAACTCAACTGTGAGTTTTTCCTTGACCAGCCGACTGTCCAAATGGAAAACCGTCGCGCAAGTCTTCATCAGGTTCGGGAGTTGCTTCCACTTGTCAAAATATTGCGTCATAACAGCGATGTCAGACGTGAATATGCAGCTTAGCATCTGTAAGCCGGCATGTTCGGCTGCTAGCGCGATATCATCGGCATAAACGAACTTCTTCGACGCAATTGGTGGGAGTTCGCTGGTATAGAGGTTAAAAAGCGATGGAGAAAGTACTGCACCTTGTGGGAGTCCGTTGTGAAGGATCCTTTCTTTACTCACCTGCCCATCGATATGGACCCGGTACCGACGTTCACGCACTAGCAACACTGTTATACTCTCAAATCAACAGTACTCGTTATCACCTGCTTCTGGCTAACCTATGGTCATCGTCACTAGCCACTGTTACGGCTTAAAAACGAACTTAGCAGCAGTCTTCCCGCGATGCCATCGATGACCATGCATCCGACGGCAAAATCTGAATGCAGCATCGCTAAGGAAACTACCGACAACCGTCGGAGTGGCGTTCACAAGGCAGAAACGTTTCGTCACCCATTTTTGAGGAAGTACGTCGAACAAGATGTGTTGAACATTTTCCTGCAATATGTGTCCTTCGCCACTGTTGCTCCCGGAAAATGAAGCCTGCTCAAAATTTGAAAATACTTAGTATCATCGAAGGAATCCTAAATGATATCGGCCATTATTACACAAAAGTTAATGGATATCAATTAGAATAAAGAAGAGGATAGAAGAATGAAACCTGCTGATAAATCTTATACTGAAAGCCGACGCTTTAGAAAGAAATGACAGCGTTCCACAGTAGAGTATAATGACCGCATTATGACATGTCGATGCATATTTTACAACAGACTTACAACGCTAATTCAAAATTCTTACATTACATTCAACCATGGAACCAGACGGTTTTTTACTGACGTACAACTTTCTTGGAAATGCATTTGTATAAGCTTCAGCATATTTTGGTATGATCAGCATGGTATATACCTGTTTTCCTACTTCATTAAGATGAAACAGTCCGGTACAACTTGGAAGAGATCATAAATTACGAAACTCTGTAAAACGATCTGGAAACGTGTAACTTTTCATGCAATTCAGTAAATCGACAAAGCAGATATAAGCCGGATGGGCACACGATTCCTCAACAAACATGGCTAATACCTGGTCAAATGTGCTTCAGCAGGGCTGGAAACCACAGTGTTATTCTTGCATCTTGGAATCAATCATGCTGCTGCACCTCCATTCTAGCACCCTTGCTTTACCTTTACCTTTAACTTTTCCAAGGAGGCTCAATAAGATAATTCACCTAATTACTGGCGCACTCTCCATGGCCTCCCTTCATGAATAGGAGTACTACAACTCGAATTCTCTGATCCGTCAGTATCTTTTCCAATGCCATTACAATTAGCCACAATATGCCCTGTTCGCCTAAAGCTCAAAGTGCTTCATAGCCGATTTCATCTATTCCAGAAG